GTATTACCTTCAGAATGAGCTGAACTACCAAAAATAACAAACAAAAATCAATCTATCTAAGCCCAAGTCACTTACCTACAAATGAAATTCAAACAAAATACATTATTTCTAACCTCCATAGGCTAAAAAAACATGAGAAAACTTCATATCAAATAAAAATCACTCATTCTGACAAACAGAGCCCTCAAATTATAGAAAAACTTCAAACAAACAACTTAATAAGGTAACACCTCCAAATTTCCTGACGTACTTCAAACTCCTCATCTGACACCTCACCACTAAGCAATATCATCTGAACTTGACCTCCTGGCACCTCAACACCAACCCATCACTAACAGAGCCAACCTCTGTTTCATGTTCAACTTCCTCAAAATCCATTTCACCATTTTATCCACAAACACTTTTTATTAACATCCACTTTCCAACCAAGTCATAACAGTATTTGTTGATTGACAAATAACAACACCTGCAATCCTCCCACAGTAATTACTAACTCCAAAACTTAGTTTTCACCCAAAAAGTCTTTGGACCATCATGAACACCCACAGGATTGTCTATTTTGTTGTATGGAAGGGTCAGAGGCGGTGGTGGAGCTCTGCGACTCTTCGTAGATCTCGGTTTAGTGCGAGAGACTGGAGATGGAGGGTTAACTGGATCTGGACATGGCATTTGTTTGATCTTAATCTCATCAGGTTCTTTCCCTGGACATGGTGTTTGTTTGATCTTAATCTCATCAGGTTCTTTCCCTGGACATGGCGTTTGTTTGATCTTAATCTCATCAGGTTCTTTCATGTTGTTAGCAGAATCCAGGAGAGGACATTCCACTTGCTGTCCTGTTGGGGTCTCAGAGTACAAGAGATCCTCTGTTTCTGATGCTGATGAATCCAATTGTTCTTCAGGTTCTTCAGCTTGAAGTAGCTCCTCTCTCTCTGGTTCTCTCTCTTGYTCTGGTTCTGATTCTGAAGCAGTCTCCTTATCAGTAACTGTCACTCTGTGTTCCACTGATGTCTCAGTTTTCTCCAGCTGTCCTTCAGACGTCAGTTGTTGTGGTTTATCTGTAGCCAGAACTCTGTTCAGGAAATACTTCATGTTTGAAACTAGTAGCTGTGCTCCAGCTTGATTCAGAGTCATTCCATCAGACTTGAATAGATGTTTTCTTTCCCAGAAGAGATCAAAGTTGTCCACATATCTCACAGAGTGGTCAGCACAGGATTTTTCCAAAAACCCATTAAGAGCCAAAAGTCTACTGAACCTCTCAGCTCCTCCTCTGACTGTTGGAACCGGTCCACTGATGAAAACTTCCATTTTTAAATTTTTCAACTGCATTCAGCAGCTGAATAAAGTCCTTCTTCATGATTTCTGACTGTTGGTTCATCACTTCATCACTTCC